GAGTCCCTGTGCTTAAAGTGTTTAGGATGGGCCTTGGCGCAGCGTGAGCATACCTTGCCGCGGGATCCCCGTTGTGTCGGTAGCATTGTGTCTTCGTGGCTGTTCGTGCTACTGTTCCGCCACTTGACGACAGGCGCGGAGTCACTGCTCACGTTAGATATTGCTGTTGTCCTTGTACGGGTGACGGACTGAGGTTCAGGATGGTGAAATGAGTCTTTCCTTGTCTCACAGATAGAGCTGGGGTCCTTTGTGTCTTCCAGTGAAATTTAGTGCCTCCCTCAGCTTCCCCAGAGTTCCTTCTGCGTAAGAGAAGGGAGGTCATGTGGTAGTTGTTGGAAACTGCAAGGACAGCGAGGAAGACCGTCACCTTTTGGAGTATGTTATATATGTCTTCAGAACGTGGTTATATCCTTCCTTACGACTAAACTTCTTTAGTCCTTAACAAGTCTTAATTTTTGTTGATAGATTAAATCTTCAGTAAAGTTATTTCTGTCTTGCGGCGGAAATAGCGAGGCACCATGACAAAGAAGTGATAATTCCGTGAGTCTTACAGGATTAAGTTCAGGATGTGATACCCAGCTTTTGGAAGTGAGGGCGTGTTGTCGTGATCAGCAGCTCGTTGGAGCTTTCATAGTATAATGGTGTTGATTTTACTTGGATCTATAACTCTTGATCAATGCAAACATAGAAGAAAGGTAAATTTTGAATTCTGTATATATAATATGAATTACAGTTTTCTCTCACATTCCTCCCATTAGCTGACTTGAAAGCATTTACTGGGGCTTTACTCTTCCAAGAAGTACTGCCCTCAAGTCTTACTTAAAGCCAACAAATAAAACCGTGTAACTGCATGAGAAACGTGAGAGTCGGATAGGGCTTTGGTGACATTTATAAACAGCTTCTTTTTTCTTTTTTTTAAAGATTTTATTTATTTCTTTGAGAGAGAGAGAGCAAGCACGGGGTGGGGGGGCAGAGGGAGAAGAAGAAGCAGGATCCCTGCTGAGGAGTGAACCCCACACGGGGCTCGATTCCAGGACCCTGGGATCATGACCTGACCTGAGGGCAGAGGCTTAAAACCCACTGAGCCACCCAGGCGCCCCTCCCCCTTTTAAGATTTTATTTATTTGAGAGAGAGAGAGAAGCAACTTCTTTCTGAATAGTTCTTCCCAGGGACTTTCTCACCTAAGGCCGGTTTCTGTAGGGGCTGTGTTGGGCAGAACTGCACATATGCGGAGGGTCCTGGAGTTCTCTTCTCTGCTTCCTGATCTCGCTCATCACCTTGTTTGCTGGATTTCTGTCTCATCTCACCCAGTATCGTCATTTATGTTGTATGGAAATTTGCTGCGGAAGTTCTCCCGGGAGTAGCAGAACGCTGCAGTCGTGGGATGTGTTTCTGACGGGGGATGGGAGAGGTGGTCCACGTGGTTTCCTGGATTCTGTGTCAGTTTTTCTTTCACTTACTCACTCAGTGAGTACTCACGAAGCCCCTGAGCTGCAGGTAGAGCGGTCTCCCAGGTAGAGCGGTGCCCAGCGTCGAGGCAGGCCACGCCGTCACTGAGCTTCGTGCATGTCCTGACGCCAAGAACATCTAGATGCCTTGCTGTGGCCACGGCCTCTAAAAGAGAAGAGAGACTCCCCCTGCCATCTCCTTGTTACCTGGAGGTGACACATGTGCAGAGTGTGGCCTGTGCCTCTTACTGACCACTTTAGTAATCAGGCCCGGAAGGCCGTATGTGCAGAACACACCAGCTTCTTTCCTGCCATGGAGACCGGGGTGTAGTGGGGGCGTCAGACAACACACGTGTCAGTCGGTTACGTGGTATTGGAGCAGGTGTCAGTGCTGTGGGACGAAGCAGGGGGAGGGCATGGGACAGGCAGTCTAAAGGTGGGCACACACCTGGTGTGGGCAGAGGACGGCAGGGGGCTTGGTGTGTCGGAGCCCAGGAAACGGATGCCAGGCCGGGGTGAGATGGAGGGTGTAGGTCACGGCCTTGCGGACCCTGCTGAGTGTGTAGTAAGCCCCGCTGTGGGCAGAACTGGGAAGCACTGGTGAGTTTCAGCAGCGGAGTGAGATGGTGCGATGGGCGTTGCGAGGGGTTGGTGTGGCTGCTGGTGGGGAAGAGAGTGTAGGGCAGTGGCGGGACCCGTCGCTGCGGCCCGGTGGGCCACGACCACAGACAGCCTGGATGCCAGTGACATGGGGGCACGTATGTGGGCTGGATTTATTGTAAAGGCAAGGATATTGGGTTTTGCTGATGGATTGCTTTGAGGAGAGAGACAGGAGTCCAGAATGACTGCGGAGTGGGGTCTGAGCAAATCGTTCTTTCATGTAAATTTGATTGAAGAGTTTACCTTTCGGGTAGGACTTCCCAGAGTTGCTTTTTTTTTTTTTTTTTAAAGATTTTATTTATTTACTTGACAGAGATCACGAGTAGACAGAGGAGGGGGGGAAGCAGGCTCCCTGCTGAGCAGAGAGCCCGATGTGGGGCTTGATCCCAGGACCCTGAGATCATGACCTGAGCTGAAGGCAGAGGCCCAACCCACTGAGCCACCCAGGCGCCCCCCCAGAGTTGCTTTTAACTGTACTGATACGATAAAGAGTTTCTTAAAGAAGCTACAGAGCTTCTTAAGGAATGACGGCCTTTCCGTCCGCGTGTGGAGTCTCTTGTTGAGAGCGTGTCGCGGGACTGCCCCCGTTCTCCCTCACGGCACCGCTAGCCTTTCCTCCTCTCCCCGGGACGTCACTGGATCGGGGGTCTAAGAGCATAATCGGGCTTTCCCGTTGAGCGGGAAGAAAGCAGGAGTGATGCCGTCACCGAGGGACTTGTCCTTGTGTCGTGGCTCAGCCCTCTGGCTGCAGAAGCTCATCTTCGCTGCCCACGTGGTCGCGCTTGTGTCGGGAGCGACACGCACCGCTCTTCTCTGGGGGCGCCCGGCCACGTAGCAGCTTCCCCTTCGGGGCCGAGCCCCGTCCTCTTCTCCACTCTTCCAGGCCGCTGCTTCCGGCTGGGCTCTGCTTGGTGGCCTGGAGGGGTCTTTGCTCCTTGGATCTTGTCATCTTTCGTACCCTCAGGGCTTGGCACAGGAGGGGCTGCTGTTTGGACACGGAGATGGATGTAGATCAGCTTGGCAGGTGGGCGAAGAAGCCCCCCCACCCCCCGCCCCGGTCACTCTGCAGCCAGAGACTTGGCGTCTCTCCCTCACCTGCAGCGCTCCCACGTCTGTCCTCTCGTCCCCTTCTCTCCTGCTGTGGGGGCTCCCGCCTCCACCGCCACTCGCTGGCACCAGCCCCTCTCCCTGCTGTGCACGTGGCGCGGTGGCACTCCGTCGCTCTGGCTCAGGAGCCCGTTCCGGGTGTGTGCGCACATGAAGACCTCTGGCTTCTGGGGCGACGCATGGGCTTGGCGGAGCGGGTCTCTTCCTCACTGTCTGACTCCCTCTTTAACTCGCCTTTCAAAGCTGTAACGGCACTGATTTTGCTTAGAGGATGTGAAAATTGGGTGTGTAAAATACTGATGGCAACTAGTAAAGGTAGCTTCTATGTTGTAGCTCGAGTCCTAAGTTCCAAGAGAGACTTGGGGTTTGCTTGTGCTGTTGCTGTGTCTGTGGCCTGGTGGTTCAGGTTAAACCCCAGGCCGTTCTCAGGGGCCTGGGCCGGATAGCGGACTTGCTCATGGGGTGTGCTTGGACTCCTATGAGGAGAGCAGGCCTCCGTGTCCCGAGTGTCCTCGGCAATGGTGATCTGTCTGCTTGTTTCTTCTGGTTCTTTACTAGCTCACTCGCTTGTGTTTTTCTGGGGCCCCTCTGCTTCCCAGTGTTGCCTGGGGTCAGAGTTCACTCTGGTGAATGGTATGTTTTCACTGGGGGCATCTCAGTTATTTGAGCTCCGACTGCTCTTAGGAGGCTGAATGTAAGGCCTGGAGACAAAGCCGTCATGGAGAGCTGTGTGTCAGACCTGAAACTAGCCGTCCTGGGCGTCACTGGACACAGGCCTCTTGTTCCCCTAGCCTTTTTCAGCTCTTGTTTTCACAAGTTCGTGAATTCGTAAAGTCTTGGTCGTGTTCACAGTTAAGTAGAGGACTCGGTTTTTTCTTCGTTAATGGGATTTGCTACAAACAGGATTACCCACGTAATGGGAGAGCTGAACCATGTGTCTTGCGTGTGCATCGTGTGGCTCTGACAACAGGCGGTCTTACTGCCGGACTGTGTTGTGTTTAACGAGCTACATTTCAGAGACGCCCGAGACTGCCTCTCAGTTTGAGTGGGAAAAATGAGTATAAGTAGCTTTACATTTTTTGAAAAAAGTTACTAATACAGATTATTCAAGTTTTTTCTGCCCTCTTTTTTTAGGAATAGGAGTGTAGTACTCACTCATGTTCTGAAATGAAGGAATCAGGTATTTTGGATTCCTCGGTATTTTCTAAGCTAGTTTTAAAAGAATCTCATAACTTCAAATTCTTGTTTTTACATGTTTTCTAAGAACTTTTATAAATTTGCAAACTCACTTTGAAACTATCAATCTGAAAATATCTTTACTTTGGAAATATCTAGGTTCCTGTAGGCATAGTTTTTACAGATTTGTTTTTAATGTTGATCAAGATTTCCCCCCCCAGTATTATTCATTTTTCATCAAGGCTTTTATCATAAGTCTTAAGGTCAGAATTAAGCTGGTGAAAGGCCAAAGGTAAGACTTTGAAAACAGGAATTGTTGGAGGAGCCATCTACTGACGTGATCTGGGGCAGACCTGATTTGCCGCTTACTCAGTTTCAGAATCTCCTGTTGGGTTTGGGAGCAGAGGTCTGCCAGACGAGTGGAGCAGCCGGTGGGATTAGCATATTAATCAGCTGCTGGCTATTGGCCTTCCTTTTCTCCTCCTTCCCTCCCTCCCTCCCTCCCTCCTTCCCTGAATGAATCTAGGAACACAGGCCCATGGGGCACATTTCTAGCTGGTTTCATTCTGCTCAGGAGCTCAATCTCGCCAGGATGGTCTGTGTTTCAGATTGCGGAAGCACGAGAAGATTCTGTAACTGAGAGGCATTCTTCAAGCTGCTGGAAAATATTACAGAAGGAGCACCTCCCAAATTTTTCTTCAAGCTCTGAGAAAAGGAGCACACAGGGGAAACTTAGTGTGGCTGTGGATCGAAGCGAACACTGTGGGAGCGGTGAACGGGGACTTGGTGCACGGACGCCTGGTCTGACCTTGGGAGGCCTGAGTTTATGTGGCTGGAACTGGCGGGCCGAGCGGCCCTGAGACCAGCAGGTGCCGTCTGTATGGAGAAGAGCGGCTGTAGTCCATTTCCAATGTGTTGGGCTAAAGGTATACGTAACTTAAAAATCTCTTTGGTTTAAATTTTATTCACATTCATGCTTTTGTACTAAAAAGGTGGATAAGAGTTTTTCAGACTTTATTTCAAATAGATTTACAATTAAATTTAAGGAAAAATGGAAATTGATGTGGTATAGGTTTGCAGCTCTTGGCATAAAACCAACTAGGTAGCTTTTAGAAAAGTAAATAAAAGTACTTTCATGGAACTGCATTTTAAGTAAGTTATCTTTTCTGTGTCTCTTATAGTTTTATTTTGTGTGTTTTAATTAAGGCACCCATATCCGTTCTGTGATGTGGAAGTTTTTAAAGACTAAAGAGACTGATTTGAGCTTAAATAGGACTGGAGGGGGAAAAAACGGTGCGATTTTTCTTATTTCACTCAAAAATTGGTTTTCTTTACTCTCGGTAAAGATTGTGCATTTAATTTGAAACTCCATATTATTATAAGGTGGGTTTATCACTGAGGGTCAGTAATACTGTGAATAAGTATTTTCCAATTTAATGTTGTTAGGGTTTTTATTTGTATAAAAATATAAATAATAAAATATAGCATTTTCATTGTAACATTCAAGACAGTATTTGGGAAGCATGTTTAGAAGTTAAAAATGCCGTGTAATCCATGTATGAATAAGACCAAATATTTTATCTGCTTAAAATACTAGTGAATATTACCTCTGGGGGATGAAGCCCATAATAAAGAATTAAATATAAATTTTTAAGAGTATATTCAAGTATCCTGCTAACCTACTCAGGAAAGATTTTTTAAAAGGAAGAACCTGCACTGGGTAAAGACCCGCAGTATTGTAAGTGGACCCTCAGGCTGATTCAGTTTAGTGTTTAGCTTAAAAAAATTTTTTTTAAAAAGATTTTATTTATTCATTTGACAGAGATCACAAGGAGGCAGAGAGGCAGGCAGAGAGGGGGAGGAAGCAGGCTCCCCACTGAGCAGAGAGCCCGATGCAGGGCTCGATCCCAGGACCCTGAGATCATGACCTGAGCCGAAGGCAGAGGCTTAACCCACTGAGCCACTCAGGCGCCCCCAGCTTCAAACTCCAGGATGTGGAGTTGCTCGCGCCCGACCGTGGTTTCACTGTTGGATGCTTCTCGCTTCCGAAGTTGTCAGCGTCATCTAGTTACTCTCGTCTAGGCTTTTAAACAATTCTCCTTCCTTCCCTTCCTTCCTTCCTTCCTTTCTTCTTAGGTAATCTCTGCATCCAGCGTGGGGCTCAGACTCACAACCCCGAGATTAAGAAAGTTGCCGACCAAGCCAGCGCCCCTTTTAGACATTTCTAAAGCCTGAGGTGTTAGAACTCTTTCAGCAGGATGCTCTCTGAACAAAGCACCTGTCACTTGATCACCTGACTAAGCATAAATTAAAGATTTCGCTGAGTTAAGTTCACACCGTTGAGTTTTAAAGGATGTTGGGTATGGGAACTTGTAAAACCTGTAACTGAGGTGAGAGTGTGCAGACCGCAGAGTGTCACTGAGCGTGACCAGTAATGAGCACCCCGGGGCAGAGCGTTCTCTGCTGTGCTTGTGGAAGGTTTCGGTCTCTCCCGGACTTGCTGGGACCTGTATGCACAGTGCCACCTCCGTGGTGTGACAGCCCTCTGTCAGCACTGATCCTTGCCAATAAGGCTCTGATTCCACTAAGTCTAGCCGAGACTCAATATATGAATCGAGTTGCAGTGGGGTATTAAATAACGGACTGCTGGGTTTTTAAAGAAGTTCCGGGCGACTCTAGAAATATGGGCATCGGAGGACACGAGACTGAGGTGTTTTTGCTCGTCCCAAAGCAGCTGATGGAAGCAGCTTGTTTGCTGACTGGCAGAGCGAGTGAGTAGAGGCCTTTTTAACTGGGATGCCATTTTGATAGAGGTCAGGGTTAGGTAGCAGAGCAGAACCGCACGTGTGGAAGAGGGGAGGAGGTAGGGACAGCATCAGGCTTAGAATCATTGCGTTTGTAGGGCTGGAGCAGGCCATCCCCTCTGATAAGTGGTGTTGCTTCTGGATGTGCAAGAGGAGGTTTCTGACGACATAAGGAGCTTGTCACCCTGTCCCCCTCGCCTGGCTGAGTACACCTCCTCCCCCGGGGGCACACAGTGCCGCTTCTCAGCACACTTCTCTGTACCAGGCCAGGAAGGCAGGAAACCCTAGGTTCTCTTCTGGTCAGTTTTTGCTGTGTGATAAAGGCAAAGATGTTGGTGTATAGGAATTGGCTGAAATGGTTATTTTCAAGTTTAAAAGTTACCACTTTTCGATAAAGACAAAATGCTCAAGTCCAAAGACTGTACATCTCTCTTCAGTTAGATATTCGAAACCTCACATTTGATTTTATCAGTCACATTAACCTCAAAAACAGCGGTGTCCCAATTTAAGAAGACACAAAATACTTAGTAGAACAGGCTAAAAATAATGGAACAGAGCTATATTTGTATACTTTGAACTGAAACCTTCACGGTATCCTTAAGACAATCTGTGGCTGTCTCTGTGATACAGTTCATTGTACCTCTCTCATAGAGGAAAGCGCATTAGATCACTCCACAGAATACAGTGTTTTCACACACTTAATCCGACTTTGTTGTAACATGTGTTCAACTATATTGTGACTTCCTAGGCTTAGCAGTGGCTTTAATCCTGAACATCGAGGTAAAGGTAGATGTTGCGGTGCAGTGTTTGGTCGCAAGGTCAGCGAATGCAGAAAGCCCTGCTCGGAAGGTCCGTTGGTGACATTAGCATGTGCCGTGCCTGTTTCACTCTCAGATGCTGGGAGGCTGTGCTCATTAGGGGTAAGTGTGTGGTCAGGGTTTTTTCTGGATCTTTCAGTAGTGGATTGAGATTGAGCATACACTCACCGTTCACTTGTGTGCTGGGTCATGCTTTTTCTGCATCAGTATTTTTAACTCCCGCTCGCCCTGCCTCCATCTGGGTGGTTCTGTGCGTGGCCCGTCTTCACTTCTGTGCTCAGACTGTGGTGCTTATCGGCCTCCTGGCACCTACGTTTGTGTCTTTCCTAAACGTCCGATGCTCCCCGGCCAGGGGGCAGTCTCGTAACTGTTGCCCCTGAAATCTGTCCCTCCCCAAGTCCTTGTCTTAGTAAACGTGCCGGACCTCCGTGCTCTTATTCGCTCAGGCCACAGACCCGGGGTGCCTCTTGGACACTTTCTGCCTCATGGAATGAGCCCGTCTTCATGCCCTTACAGTTGTGTCTTCAGAACAGGTCTGCAGCTCTCGCCCTCCCGGCCACATCCACTCTGCACCGTGCGACCTTCGTCTCCGTCTGGGCCGTGGGAGTTGCTTCCTGTTGGAGCTCCCTGTTTCCTCCCTCTTTGTCCTTCACAAAGCTGCCCGAGTGCGTTTGCCAAAGCAAGAAGGCCGCGCCACTCTCCTTGCAGCCCCGCTGGCTTCTTACTGGATGAACTTGCAGGTCCTCAATGTGGCCTGCCAGGCCTCACCCGATGCGACTGCTCCCAGCGTCTCGGGCTTCGGGGCGGTGGCCTCTGGCTTGTCACCCGTGCGGCCTTCCTGACTCGGGAGCACCTCAGACTGCTGAGCTCTTCCCGGTCAGGCCGTCGTACCCGTGCTTGCCCCTTCCTTGCCTGCGTGGCCTGCTCCTCCTGGCCTCTCCGGTCTGAGCCTGACCGACCTCTCAGCCGTGTCAGCGAGGACCGCGTTCGCCCTGGTGTCCGCCCTGACGTTCTCCCCGAGCCTCGTCGCCTGGCCTTGCGCGGCACTTAGCTGGGACGGACCGCTCCACGTCGTTCTTGCCTGCTTTCCGTCTTCTCCGCTAAGAAGTAGACTCGACACGGTCAGGGACGGTCAGGGTTTCTCCTCCTTGACAGGGTATCGGCACAAATGAATATTACCTTAACGAATGAATGCATTATGGGCTTAGCTAATCCACATGCCTCAAGAACGGTTGGGTGAGAGCCGCAGATCAGTGGCCGAGTCTCTTCCTGTAGCCCAACACATGCCGCATCCCAGCTCTCTCAACAGATGGGCCTCGGTTGGGCTCCCGGGGCCTGATCGCTTCCCTGGGAGTGATCTCCTGGGCCTCTGCTGCTCCTCTGGGACTGTGGCCATCCGGTCTGACAGCTCGAGGTGCTAATTGACCTCATGGGGAGGATGTTCAAAATCCATCTCTCTGTGAGTGTGTGCATTTATTTTATAGTGTACGCATGTAAATAATCCAGATATCTATACCTTTACGGTGAGAGGTGTCAAAAGCTTTCCCGAAGAGTGACTGAGTTTTCTGAGTGCCCAGCACGAAGGAACATCTCGTGGGGCCCAGCACACAGTAGGCCCGCAGTAAGAATGGGTGCTGCACCGAGCTCCGGCCTGTCACCAGCTCGCCCCGGTGTCAGCCGTGTCACGGGAGGGACTGCATCCTCTCCACTGGCCGCCCCTCGGCTCCGCCTCCGTTACAGCCACAGCACTGCCCGAGGAGCCTCTCCAGGCCCCCTAAGGCTTCTGCGGCTCCTTCTGCTTGCAACAGCCGTTCTTTTTAAAGGCGGAACTTTCAGGATTCTGCCCTAGGGCATGGCCCTCTGTGTTTGTGTGTGTGTGTGTGTGCATCTGTTTGTCTGTCTGTCTCCCTCTCTCTCTCACCTGGACCACAGGGCTGGGCTGTGGCATCTTTGTGCAGCAGCTCTGCACACATGGGCGCAGCCGTAACTCACTCAACTTCTTTCTCCGTTTGTCTCACGCTCCTTAGGCCCGGTTCAGGTGTTACTGCTTTTCCAGTCCGTATGGTCTGACGCGTTATCAGCACTCAGTGATTGTTGAGTGAAAAAACCCCCCGAGTTGTTGAGATCTGGGGCATTTTTCTAAAGGAGGTGCTGATTCATGCCAGTGGGGAAGGGGGGAGGCCCTCCGTGCTGTCGGAGTTCTGGGGGCAAAGGCGCTGAGAAATGAGCTTGTTTGCGGAGCGTCCAGGGAAACCTGGGCTTTCCTGCTGAGGACAGCTGCAGCCTGCGTTCAGGTCTGCGGAG